TGTTAGCGCATGCCTGTAATTCCGGCTACTTGGAAGGCTGAGGCGGAAGGATTACCGGAGCCCAGCAGGTCGAGGCTGCGGTGGCCAGGAGCAGCCACTGCCCTCCAGTCTGGGCGACAGAGTGAGACTGCAACTCAAAAAAAAATAATAATAATAATAAAATAAAATGCCAGTATCAATACCTTGCTATTGAATTGTGAAGATTAACTTACAGATAAAGCACTTAACTTTTGTAAGTGTTTCACATGACTGCTCAAGAGTAGGGTTTTTTGTTTGTTTGTTTGTTTGTTTTCTTTGGGAGAAGGTGATCTCAGGTAAAGAAGGCTCTCATTTCCTTAATGGTTCTTTACTAAGTCTTCCTTTGCTGAGGATTTCTCCTAGTGATGATTAAAGAATGAGATCAAAGGAGAAATGATCTGTTGGATAAGGCTGTTTGAGTGATGCTGTTTTTCTAAATTGGAGCCTACTCTGCCGAGGCTTGATTGATTGGCTTTCTGTTCTTAATTTTCTACCACTACCTCTCAGTTAACGTCCAGTAATGCAGATCTTTCCTTATTTCCCAAAATATGCCATGGTGTTTCGTACCTTTTTGCCTTTATGCATTCTGAATTTTTTGCCTGGAATTCTCTTTCTGTCTTGGTTCACTTGGTAATCTCTTGTTTTGATTTTCATACTCTGGCCCAGATGTTATTTGTTTCTAAGACGGTTTCTCTGACTTCTTTAGATAACATTAGTCTTTTCTTCCATCCCTCTACCTTATTTGTTACTAATATCTTTGCACTTATCACCCAGTGCTGATCACAGTGCCTGGCATGTGATAGGTTCTTAGTAAATAAATCTTGGCTAAATAAATGAATTTCCCAGAGAGCCTAAAATGCTCTCTGGAGTAGCCCAGGTACTCATTTTTTCCCCTTTTTTGTTTAATGTTTTGGCCTATTGAAAAGTACTTTAACATTAGTAGAAAAAGACAGTCTTTGGAATTGGACAGATAAGATTTATAATCCTAGCTCTTTGAAGAGAAATTATCCTTCTGAGTCTCCTTTTCCTTTTCTATACAGTATGAATAATCATTCTTATATATATATTATATTGAGGTTTAAATAATAAGGGGATTATCATGAGGCTTAACTAATACATAAACCCCTAGAGCAAAATTTTACATATAAAGCACTAAGTAGGTACTCAAAAAATAGTTTAGTTATTATTATTACTGTATGCCTCAATTATATGAGAAAATAATGCATCTCTTTGAAAAAGCAAATTTCTTGCATTTTGCTTTCCTGAGTCAATGGATACCTTGATCCATTGAAAAAAAGTGCTTGCCCTCGCAATATTTGTTTATTCAACAAATATTGAGTGCCTACTGTATGCCAGGCACTATTCTAGTTGCAGAGGATACAGTAGTGTATAAAAACAACAAAAATCCTTATCTTCATTAAGTTTATATCTTGAGAAAGGAAACAGACAAATGTAAATAGCGTGGTTTATTACCATGAAATTTCAGGTGATTCTTGTCACATCTTTCTATTGTGTAATGTGTTCTCATGTTCGCTTGTTTTTGCTTCACAGGGCTACCACTGATCTCTCTGGCTTTTCATCTTGTTTGTTACATCAGTTGTTCACTGTGCCAAGGGAATTGACCCTCATTAACCTTAATGACAGTGGGGAGACAATAGAATAGCATTTTCTTTGCCAGATCCCAACCTAAGGATGAATGCAAATATTTTCAAGTTAAGCTAAAGAGCAAGGGATACCCTCTGAGTCTTTCTTCTTGCTCTCTGAAGGACAGATTGTAGGGATATAAGAATGAAAGAGCCGGGCTCGGTGGCTCAACCTGTAATCCCGCGCCTTTGGGAGGCTGAGGTGAGTGGACTGCCTGAGCCCGCGGGTTCGAGACCCGCCTGGGCAGCGAGACCTCATCTCTACAATAAATCAAAAAATCAGCCGGGCGTGGTAGCGCATGCTTGTAATTCGGCTACTCGGAAGGCTGAGGCGGAAGGATCGCCGGAGCCCAGCAGGTTGAGGCTGCGGTGGCCGGGAGCGGCCACTGCACTCCAGTCTGGGCGACAGAGTGAGACTCCAACTCAAAAAAAAAAAAAAAAAAAAAGAATGAAAGAGACTCTAATCATCACATTCTCCAAATCAGAAACCAGGGCCCATATAAGTGAAGTCACTTGCTCAAAGTCATAAAGCTAATTATAGAGACACCTCCAGGAGCTCCAGGTCTTTAACTCCCAATGCGATGCTCTGTTTACTTGTTCTGTGTCTTTGAAAGTTTTCTTTGGAAAAGTATTCACTCCTTTTTCCATTTGTTTCTGTGTTAGATTTCTTAGTAAGGGGTTTATAAGGAGATGAAGAAATTTGAGAAAAACAGGAGGTACTAGGAAGTTAACATGTCTGTGACTCTGCTATGCATTATCACTTGGATTGTCAGCAAAAACCACCTGGACTAGAACTGGCCTCCTGTCTTTGGAAGCCAGTTGTGTTGCTGATTCTCTGCTTTGGCTCATTGACTTGTAGCTGTTTGGTGTGGATTATTTTGTAGGTGGGGACTTTTAATAAATCTGTTGATGTGACCCATTTTGGAAGAGTAGTGTAGTTCAATATATTATCTTGAGAAGTGATGTGCTCTTTCACATAATGATCTCATTATGGATGGTAAGGAAGTATACTAAACTTAATTTCTCTGCTGAACTTTGTGATTTTTTTGACTAATGTGTTTGCAAATGACTCATTTGTGTTCCTTTAATTCTCAGTTACATTTATTTTAAGTCATTTATACTTGGAAAGCATTTTTGTAAACTATTTAAATAATTGCCTTTGTTGGTTAAAAAAAAAAAAAATTTGAATTTTCTCATAAGCCTTCTGCTTATTTATCACATTTTTCTTTTCCTCCCCATAGTCCTACTTTCTTCCAGGCAGAGCTGTGGATCAAAGAATTGTAAGTTATTATTTTTTTCATCATTTTTCCTTCTCAATCACTTTATTTTCAGTTAGAATAAATCAAACAATTAGCTAATCACCCTGCTTATTTTTAGTCAATAAGAATTACCTGTTTATACTTTTAAGTTGTTGGGTTTTTAATAGTCTGTTGGAATTGGAACATTTCTATACTCATGTTTACTGAATCTATAACAATTATTGAAGCTAAATTGATTTGGGGAAATATTCTAAAGTTAGCTATTATGTAAGGGGAAAAACATGTAGAAGGGGAAATAAATAAATTGGTAAAACTTATTTATTGAATAATTCATATTTCTAGAGTTTGCAAAATCACTGAGAGCACTTAGTCAGTTTTTGGGACTCACTTTAAGTTATCCAAACCCCAAACCCCAGTTTTAATACTTAAAAAAAAAAAATCTAAAGTATAATATTTGAATTGAACCTCAATGATATCATGTATTATTTTCTCCTTTGAGGTTGTCTCATTTTTGGATTTCCAGAATGAAACTTTGCTTTCACCATAATCTTAGAAGCGGGTGTGGTAGCGCATGCCTGTAATTCCAGCTACTTGGAAGGCTGAGGTGGAAGGATCACCGGAGCCCAGCAAGTCGAGGCTGCGGTGGCCGGGGAACGGCCACTGCACTCCATTCTGGGTGACAGAGTGAGATTCCAACTCAAAAAAAAAAAAAAAAAGAAAAGAACTGTACATTTACAAATATCTACCAAAGTCATCTGTTCACATATTTTAAATTATTTCATTAAAAATCATAGGATAACTTCAGTAACACCATGTAGTTTTACTCTGAAAATATAAGTGTGATGATAAGGCAGTATAAAGATTTTAGACTTTCTTTGTGAGGATTCTATATTTAATACTCATTGTGCATCAAGAGTGTATTTGATGCTAAAACAGTGGTCTGCATTTGTGTCACTTTCTTTTCATTTCCTAGAACTAGTGTTTATGATTCTCGAGCACGGGAAAGATTGCGCCAGATTGAAGAGCAAAAAGCACTAGCATTGCAACTTCAAAACCAGGTAAAAAAAAAATTGGGATAATATTATAAATAGTACAACCAAGTTGAAACTATTTTGGGAGGTTTCCAGTTTGAATAATTACTGTTGTAATTGCAAGATTGTATGGTAACAACATTTTATGATTAGTGGTATGTATGTTTTGGATTATCTAGTCGGTACTACTCAGTGTACATATGACAAATACTGTCTTCTGCTTACGATGGTTTGACTTGTAATTTTTTGACTTTACGATGATGCGAAATTGATAGGTATTTTGATACATTCCTCATTCTATGGTTTATTGGGACATAGGCCCATTGTAAGTCAAGAAGCATCTGTAATAGATTTCTTTACCTCACTTAATTCTGAAGTTTTGTCTTTTAGAGATTGCAGGAACAGGAACATTCAGTACATGATTCAGTAGAACTGCATCTTCGTGTACCTCTTGAAAAGGAGATCCCTGTCACAATCACCCAAGAAACAGAAAAAAAAAGTCATAAGTTAACTGATAGTGAAGATGAGTTTCCTGAAATTACAGAGGTAAATTGCATACTATTAATTTCTGCACTAGCAAGTATTATGTTTAGAGAGAATGCTTTGGACAAATTTCAAATATAAAAGCTATAGAGTTTAAATTTTCTTGCATATTCCTGCTTTCATTTGTATTATATACCAATCTTGACTCTCTTTTTAGAGTATTATTGAATATTGATAACAGAATTAGGGGTGGCTTTTAAAGCAATTTTGGTGAAGAAGCATTTAATAAATTTGTGTTTCATTTCATGTGCATTTTGACTTAATGCACGCATACAATTGTTTGACATCAAATTGTAAACTGAGATTTACTATTTTTTTCAGTCATAAAACCTATTATAGAAAATTTGGAAAATACATAGAAGTCTGTACATTTTTAAATAATCTGTTCCTTTATCCATTCTTCTCTTTGAAAAACTACCATGTCGCTGGTAAGCATAGCACATTTATTATAATTGTACTGAATTCCATATTTTATGTTTAAAAAAACTTAAAAAAACATTTTTGTTTTGTTTTGTTTTGTTTTGTTTTTTGAGTTGGAGTCTCACTCTGTCACCCAGACTGGAGTTCAGTGGCCACTCCCGGCCACTGCAGCCTCAACCTGCTGGGCTCCGGGGATCCTTCCGTCTCAGCCTTCCAAGTAGCTGGAACTACAGGCGCATGCTACCACGCCTGACTAATTTTTTGATTTATTGTAGAGATGAGGTCTCACCAAGTGCCCAGGCGGGTCTCAAACCCACAGGCTCAGGCAATCCACTCACTTCAGCCTCCCAAAGTACGGGATTACAGGCTGAGCCACCAAGCCCGGCTTAAAAAAACATTTTAAGGAAAACAGTTTCTTAGGTCTTCTCATGGGCTTAGAAATTTTGTTAGCAGAAGATTATTTCAGACTTTAAGAATTAATATGAAACAAGGCTCTGAATGTTGTGCTGAAAAAGAAAAGGGAAGACTGGATGAAATGGAAGGAAGTAATCGGAGAATACTGGGAAGGAAAGAAACTGAAATATTAATAGTAAATTGATAAGCAATTGATTAGTAATATAGTCTGAGAATTATATAGGGTTAGTGAGAAATTTAGTTTGTCTGAAGCCATGTATGTTTGATCTCTGACACCTTTTGGTTCCCTAGGAGATGGAGAAAGAAATAAAGAATGTATTTCGTAATGGGAACCAGGATGAGGTTCTTAGTGAAGCATTCCGCTTGACCATTACACGCAAAGATATTCAAACTCTAAATCATCTGAATTGGCTCAACGATGAGGTAATCTTGCACTTATTTTTATATACAAATAGTAAGTGAACATGAAGCGGAAGTTAAAGCGTCTCACTATTTCTCAAAGTGTGACCCTTGGATGAACTGCATTAGTATCACTTTACATAGGCCTCTTCATTCTCCTGACTAAATATGAGGGAGGGTGGTGGATTACTCATTTTTAACAAACATCTCAGGTGATTTTTATGTACTTTACAACAAAGTCTCAGAACCACTGAATTTACCTTTTCTTGTATTGAAGATTTAGACAACTGACAAAGAGGATATTCACTTACTAGTATTCTCATGCTCTTTAAGGCTCCTGCTATGCAGTTCACATCTTCTGAGCAAATATTTAGTAACTGACCATGTTGTAGCATGAAGGAATACTTCAGAATTTCTATATGGGAATTTAATTCTACCTCCCTTTCTACCTCTACTTGTTTAGATCACTTAATCAGGGGGCCCCAACCCCTGGGCCATAGACTGGTACCTGTTAGGAACTGGTCCACACAGCAAGAGCAGCAAGCAAGTGAGCAAAGCTTCATCTGTATTTTCAGCCACTCCCCGTTGCTCACATTGCTGCCTAAGCTCTGCCTCCTGTCAGATAAGCAGTGGCATTAGATTCCCATAGGAGCTGAAACCCTATTGTGAACTGTGCGTGCAAGGGATCTAAGTTGCGTGCTCCTTAGGAGAATCTAATGGCTGACGATCTGAAGTGGAACTGAGGCAGTAATGTTAGCGCTGAGAAGCGGCTGCAAATATAGATTAACATTAGCAGTGAGGCTTGACTGCACAGAGACCATAATAAATCAATTGCTTGCAGACTCATGTTAAAACCCTGTCAGCGAGAGGCAAGTGAGTCGATGTAATTTAGTTGCACAACTGCGTCTGATGGCAGGTTTTAAGTCAGAATACAGCACTTATTGTAGTCCACACATCGCCCAGTATTATTTTATTTACTGTTTCTGTCCGCACCTCTTTTTTTTAATGGTGAGTTGTATAATTATTTCATTATATATTACAATGTAATGATAATAGAAACAAAGTGCACAATAAATGTTATGTGCCTGAATCATCCCAAAACCATTCCCCTCTGCCTTCCCTGCCCCCTGCCCCATAGAAAAATTGTCTTCCAGAGAACCGGTTCCTGATGTCAAAAAGGTTGGGGACCACTGACTTTCATTATGAATGGTATGCTTTCTAAAATAGCCTCCATTTATATATGATATTTTTTAAACTTGTGTTATTATTAGATATTTGATGTATTAGGGGAAAATGTTAGGGTTCTCACCTCCCAATTCCAATTATTTTTAAGTATATTAATTACAGTACAGTCTTTAAACTGATCTATCCCATTCCTAAACCTGTAGGTAATTGTTTTGTTGCAGAAGGATATTTTCACAGCAAAAGAAGAAAACTGGATGTGCTGTCTTTTCCTAAGTGTCTACTTTCCTAGGCCTGCTAGGAGCATCCCTACCTGATCTGGGTGTACTCAACTTCACAGCTGTGGAGGATTTTTAGATTCTCAGTATAGTAAGCAGTGAAACATTCTAGATACCCATATCCTGTTTTGTTTGCTTAGGACCTTCCAAATAATAATATTGGCTACATCTGTTGAGCATTTCCCTCATGTTAGGCATGATTCTTAAATGGTTTTATGTATTCTATTTATGTAGTAGTCATCATATCCTTGGAGGTAAATACTGTAGTTTTATCATCTCCATTATACAGATAATGAAACAAGGCATAGAAAGGTTAAAAAGCTTGCAAGAGTATATAGCTAGTAAAATAGCAAAACCAAGATTCATATTCAAACATTGGGTCTTACCTACTACATCATATTGCCTCAGAATCTTAAATTGGATCCTGACTTAGGATCAGGCGTATAGAACTTAGGAGCCATGTATCATACCCGGGTTATTGACTTTCTGTAGTCAGTTGGACTAGCCCCATTTTCTTTGCCATTGACCAGTTTGTAAGATAAAAATTACAGAAGCTTATCGCTCCCTGAATAATAACTGTAACCAAGAATAGTAAGGAAAGCATGGTTTGTTACTGTCTTTCTTTAGAGGAAACCTCTCTTCTTTCAGCTCAGATATTAGAACACTGGACCAAATTATAGGGGGAAAAAATTGCTCACCAAATCAACAGGAAAATAAAGGATCATTAAAAGCATCCACTGATAAGTCATTTCTGATTTGTGGTCTTTTGCCATTTTTTTCCTGTCACTGCTGGAGGGGAGTGGTCAGTTATTCTAAAGAGATCATAGCATATTTGTTATAAATTATGCAAAACCTTCTAGAGGGCAGCAATGAGTAGGAGATGAGCTGTGTTCTTGCTGTTTACTGTGTCAGTTACCTCAGTGAGATCCCTTACAGAGACAGCATTCATAAGGACATATTTTCCATTCCCTGGGCCTATTGGGGGCTGGATTTTTAGCAAGCGAAGTTAATGGAAATTACATTATTTTAGAGGAGATGAAAAGGCAAGATTCCTTGTCTACTTTATTCCTACTACACTTACCCATAACTTTTTTAGAGGGAATGCTTTTCTTCTGAGTTCAGAATAATGTTAACCTTGAAAGCAGGTGCCAATTCACATGTCCATAATGATGATGATAACTATGTTTAAAAACACTGTTTTCAAAGTACCACAGTTTTCAGACTTTCAAAGTTATTACCCATGAGAAGCTAACATTTTGATGGAGTATTAGTAGGTATCCTTAAGTATTAATTTGAAAATACTGAATTCTATTTCTCAATTTTGGTCTATCAGTTTAATTTTGCAAGTAATTTGTCCCCTCTTCAATCTTGTTATCCTTCCTTCAAATAGATATTTTCATTAATAACCATTTCTCTTCTTTTTGTGTTTTCTGTCAGTTCTATAGGATGTATTACAACTTTCTCCAAAACAAGGTGACTGATACATTATTCTTACCATTTTATAGACAAAGAATGTAAGAGCTAGGATGTGAAAGGAATGAGATTTAGTTTATAACACAGATAAATCCCCAAAATCCTGTATTTGGGATATGTACAGAAAGCCATTAGGCTACTCTTTCCCTGATGTCTTTCCTAAAAGAAAAGTAGACTACAGCGCTTATTCATACCATAGGCTTTTAGTTTTTTTAATGAATGGATTTATATGTAGGTTAATGTGGTTAAATTTGTATAACTTCAAAGGACTAATGATTGATGGGATTGACATTTGATCGCAATATAAGACAATGAAACTTTTCAAAAATGGAATGTGGAAGCTTATTACTTATAAAGAATTCAAAAGGAGACAGGAAGATTGAAAAAATTGGCATTGTAGATGGGGATTTCTATACTGGATCAGGAGATTAGTTATTAATAGAAATATCTAAGGGAAGAGAGGACAGGGTTAAAACAAGGAGGAATTAGTTGCAAAAGTAGATTGAAAGTCACAGTAAAGAAATAGAAGGAAATATTTTCATGTGGGTGTCAATACTAGAAATTATGTATTAACTCCCAAAGATTGAATTTGATGACTTCTGGAATTCCTTCCACTTTAAAGATTCTAGGTTAATGTTTCTGAGAAGACTGCTTTGGGCTTTTGTGTTTCTCTTTTTGGCAAAGTGATTTTACTTTTTTAAGGGACTAAGGAGTGTTTTTTATAAGGCATCAAATAAATTTAGAAATATATGGAAATGATGTAGGTATACAAGTAAATAGAACTGATTTTTTTTTCTGGTCGTGATAGAGTTAAAGGGACAAGATCTATTCTTTCAACTTAACTAGAATACTAGACAGAACATATGAAATGGCAATTTTCACACATTTGATAATAGGCAGTTATGAGACAGAGATCCTTGAGAGAAGGAAAATAAAAGGGATGCATTCTATAATTCCTCCAGTTTACCGGGGTGGGGTATTGTATTGTGGGAGAGGGGCTGTCAGAGCCGATGCAGAGGGATTTCCTTCAAGCTTTTGGGTGAGTATTTATCTGTGCATGTGTGAGAAGTTACCAGAGACTAGGGAAAGAATCACCGGAAAGAAGGAATTCATACCATCTTAGAGCCACATATGTTCTAACCACTTAAAGTAGAAAAGCCTTCTAAATCACAGGGCATTGAATAGAATCCTCAGATGGGTATTGCCTCAGGAGTGGGGCCAAACTGACACTAGGATAAAGGCTGATCTGGACCTACCTTAACAAAGCTTAAAAACAAGTCTCAAAGGCTTGAAATTGATCCAAGCAACTTAATTATATCCCAGAAAGAAGTCTAACAATATTTAAACAAATACAACAAATCCCACCAACAACAAAGCCTAACAACATAAAATTCACAATATCCAGCATTCAATAAAAAATTACCAGGCAAACAACTTAAGATAATACAACTTATGAAAAAACAACTACTGATAAGGAAGAAAGCCAGTCACTAGAAACAACCAAAATGACCAAAGTGATAGAATTAGTGACAAAGATATCATAACAGGTATTATAAATATATCCCCATATATTTAGGAATATAGAAAGAAGTAGACATGACAGGAAGAGAAATGGAAGATATTTTTTAAATACCCAAATTGAACTTCTAGAGATAAAAAATGTGGTAGCTGAAATAATAAAATGCATAAGATTGTATCGATAGTGGATTAGACACCTCTGAAGAAAAAAATGTGTGAACTTGAAGATACAGCAGTAGAAACTACCTAAAATGAGACACAGGAAATAGGTTGAAGAAAGATGACAAGGGCATCAGTGAGTTGTGGGGCATTATCAAACAATCTAAGCATGTTATTAGAGTCCCTCCCAGTAGAGACATCAGAGGTGTCAGAAAAAGTGTTCAAAAAAATAATAGTGAAAAATTTTCCAAATTTGAAAACTGTAAACTGGTGAGCTCAGGAAATTCATCATACCACAAGTAAAAGAAACACTACATTTAAATGTATAATAACCAAATTGCTGAAAACCAGTAATAAAGGGAAAAGTAGTAAGTGCAACCAGAAGGAAAAAGACACATTGTATACAGAGGAACA